TTCTTTGTTAAGTTTATTTGTGGGAAAACCCACAGAAAATCATAGCCTTAGAGAAGGATATTCCTTTACTGGATCACCGTTGGTAGAGCCATTCAAAATAACATTAGCATCGCCAAATGCCCATTAAGTACAAAAAAAATATGTAAGATGCTATATAAGTAACTCTAATTAATAGACGCATAGTTATAACCTTTTCCACATTTAGAAGTGCAATTTTATGTTTGGTGGTAAACCTTTACTTAGCTTTTTTACTCGACATACAAGAGAGTAGAGTAATACTGAATATTCTAATAATATGAATATTACATGAATAATTTTACCAGGATAACATATTCGAATAGAGCTTGCATTTAAGCATTGATACGATAACTAAGGTTCAGAGTTGTGTTTATGAGTGATTTGATCGATGTTTAAATAAATAAAATATATTCTATATAAAATATAAAATAAATTAATGTTCTATGAAATTAAAATAATATTTAGTTTTTGATATTTACAAAAACATTTCCAGCGCTGATACTTTATCTTAATTTTAAAGTTCATTCGTATTCGTTCTATAATACGAGTACAAGGGCTTATTACGCGAAAGACCATCACCACCTACTGGCACCCTGTCGCAAAATCGTTTATCTCCCGCGTTTGAATGTTTGCAACTCTTTCGTTTCATGACGATCTGGTACTTAGTCGATACTAAAAGACCCGATACAAGGTTATTAACCACAGATAAAACATACGGTATGAGAAGCAATGACTGAGTATGGTTCTTTCTTTGTATTCAAGTCGTATGAAAAAATGACATTTTAAATAATTTAGATGTCTCTCCTTTCTAATTTATATTATCGACATATTGTCAATATGTAGTGCTAGTGCAAGTTTTGTTATTGATTGTAGGGCCCACTAATTATAAAATAAAATATAAATTCCACTTTTACTTCTTATAAAAATGTGTAACTATGATAGTTTTACTTTTAATAAGTTATTCAAAACAATTGTTCATTGCTACTTATGGTTCAATGTACTGTGTACAATAATATGAATTTTATGGTAATTAAAATTGAATTCTATTTTTTGGACTCAGGTTAGAATGTCTGTACCAATTTGTCAATTTTAAAACCACTCCACTAGGTTTTTAGGAAAAAAAGGATATATTGTATTTTTGGAAAATTCACAAAATGATAAGTCGCCTTGTATGTATATGAACTTTTAAAAATGGATCAATCAATTTAAAGATTTTTTTACATTAATTATATTAATTAGTTTTAAATAAAGCTCCTAAATACGCTTTTCATTTATCCTTTAATTTATTACACAAGAGCGACAGAAGATCTGAGAGAGTGCCAAATAATTAAATTATATTACTATGTACCTACTACATTCTAATTCGCACGATCGCTGCTATTTTATTAACATTATATGCAAAAACTCAAGTAGCTAACATAATCTCGAATAATCAAAGACGACAATTCATTATATATTTGATTGATGGGAACCGAATCTGACCATAAACGGACTATACCTATTCATATTTTTTAATGTGCACGCCATCTATCCAATTTAGGCAACATGTTTCTTTCAAACACTGACAAGATGTAAACCAGAATCTACTACGACTATTGTAACATGTAACACTTCCAGTTTATGCTATCCTGGTGAATAAAACATGTAACAGGTGTTTTTTGACATTTCGAGCCGAAACTTCGTACATATAATAAAGTATATTTGCCTCTTTGTCTTTATGCTATCCTGTTATGATCATTCTTTGCATACCCGGGGAAAAATTTGTACTGTGAAGGTACCCTCATTTTTTTCACGTTTCACCTTTCACGATCCCATAGAAATTACACAATATACTGACCTACTAATTGTACTTGCGGTAATCGACATTTTTAGATTTTTTTTTCTTTTTTGTAGAGTTAGTGACCCCAAGGACCCATTTAATCTATTCATAAAGACTTAAACTTATTGATTTTATTATTTTACAGTATTTATTTGACAAGAAACGTAGTTGAGATTATTACTTTTGCTAGGCAAATCTACCGAGAATATCGCAGCACTTTCTGATATTATTTTCTAAAAGTTTGCCGCTAATTTGCAAGTACTGCGTTTGTGAATGCCAGTATATCAGTAGGTAGCGTAAAATCAGACGTATTCAGCCCGTCATTCAAACCAAACGAAACTTTTTAGCATGCTTTCAAAGCACTTGTAAATATGAATAATAATACAGTTAAAGAATACTTACTGAAATGAATTTCTCTTAAATTTTATGGTACCCTAGTAAACGAGTAGATACGAGTATTAACTACGAATGCGGTATGTAGAACAGAGTTAAGGCAGAGGAAAACGAAGTGAACCTACTCGAATTCTCCAGATTGGTCTTTAATATTATTTTAAAATATGATATTCAATAAATGTAATTAACTACTAGAGTATTAGGGGTAACCTACTCTTTTCCCTCATCGCTGATAGCCAAGGGTCTATACTAGCTACTCTTGGAGCGGTAGGCAAAATCACGGGTTCAACCTGAGTGAATTGCTAACACTGACCCTAGCAAGAGTAGTGTTTCGCTAAATCCATCACCGGATCAGTATCGCGACCCACCGAGAACATCTGACGAGAAACTCAAATGGTTGGAGGGCTTAAAAGCACCGAGATCGGATGCAGAGGATCCAACAAGACACGCGGTCGCCTACCGCCGAACAGACAATTAATATACTAATATTCTACTGGCCGCAGTACTATTCACAATGAGAAATATGTATTACTACATAAACTATAAATAAAATTTTAAATAAAGTTGAATAGAACTTTTGTCTACAATTTCTGAGTTTGACCTTAAATGTAAAAAACAATTCACTGAGGGGGCTTTTAAATGTCACTGATAGATGGCGTTATACAGTTTTCTTAAATCGCGCTATTGACTTGTGCCCAGGTTTATATAAGGGCATTGTGTGACCACTAACCGTTGAGATATAAGGTTGAAAGTCACACAGTCCTAAGACTGTGCTTGTTTTTGGGAGTAGCCTTTTCGCGCCCCAGCCCAGCGTTCAGGTCTACTGATTAGAACCGATCTCCTAGATTGTCTATCTACATGTCCCTAAGATGGAATCGGTAGGCAGTAGAGGTGTAAAAGTAACGAAAAAAAAAAACGTACCCGTATGTATTTGTTACTATACATTCAGTACTATTTACGGTTACTAATACTATCGTATCGTCACTCGTTACTCCTGATACCTCTAATGAATATTTAAATATTAAAAAAACCTGGATAACGAATCTCACAAATCATCACACAACGTTATTTTCTTTGTACGTCCTCAAGTTTACATTACCTTTTTAATTCGCGGAAAATACGCACGCATGCGCAAAACGATCAGTAAGAAACGTTTCAATACACGCATCAACGCAGCGTAACATTGCGTCATTGAAACAGCGTATTTAACCAGGATACGAAACATGCGAGTAACGAAAAGTATTCGTGAATAACGTTTCGTTACTCGGTACTAGATGGCGTACCCGTTACTCAGTAACGAATACATACCGACGCTTGAAAGGCAAAAGTGACTAAGCGACAATGCGTGAACTTTACAGTAGACTGATTTAAATTTGAAATACCTGAAAACAAAATTTATTTTAACGAATCTAGCTGTAGTAGAATCTAGCTAGTAGCTGTAGGATTGAAATTATTTTAATAGACCTAGAAATATATATTTTTTGCGCATCGAATATGGTTATTGCCTATCATTTATTACAAATCAGTTATTGTCGCTTAGTCACGTTTGCCTTTCAAGCGTCGATACGGTTTTTGCTACAGCTCTAGTAGGCAGCGGCTTGACTCTGCCTCTAGCATTGCTGAAGTCCATGGGCGACGGTAACCGCTCACCATTAGGTGGGCCGTGCGCTCGTCTGCCTACAAGGGCAATAAAAAAAAAGATCCGGAAAATATATCTAAATAGTATGTATGACAGCGAAATATTATGTAGGTATTCATTCGTTGCCACAATATCAAGTTTGCAACTTCATTACTAATAAAAAATTTAAGTTCCACACATGGAAGAGGAAGAGAAGCCGCCCCAGAACAACCTAGCGTCGCTCGGTGGAGCAGGAACTAGGGGTCTTGGCCATGACGTGGGAGGAGCTAGAACAGACTACCCAAGACCGATGTAAATGGAAAAAAATTATTCGAGCCCTACACCCCAGCAGAGGGTAATAGAAAAGAATGATGATGATGATGACACATGGGACACTGAAAAGGAAGCAAACTGTAAATTGCCAGTCATCGTAAGATGATTTTGTCCATATTGTATGGAAGAGCTATGGCAACGGATATTCTTTGTTATTATGTGAGAAAAAGGTAATAATATATAATATATAGATTGACTTTTTCCAAAAATAATATAGGTACTATGAAAATTATACGCTTAATTTTGTGCTCTACTTTTATTAAAGTATGTCTATTTCAAATATGCATACTCTATGAAGATGATGTACCGCTCATCGATAGCATTTCGTATTATTTTCGTTCTTTGCAATGTCGTCGCCATTATGAGATATTTTTGTTAATTTAAAAAAAAAAGGAAATTTGTGCTGATACATATGTAGTTTAAATGTAATAATATTAATTAAACCGCATAGTCCTTGACGAAAAACATCTACATTACAATTAAAGAATGCTTTATTTCCGATGAAACTACAGTAGTGAGAGAAAAAATAGAGAATTGTTTCAACTAATGATGAACAATATACTTCAAAAATCAATTTTTTCATTTCAGTTAACACTGATCAATTTGGAATTCTGCTAGCTTAACTACAAATCTAACAATTGTTATATGGTTTACTCATTATTTTTTGGACATGATTCTGCCAGTTTTTTATCGATGAAATATTTTTAGATAAATAACTTACTGTGTTAGTAAATTAGGAACAATAAATGTAACTAGGGTTAGTATGTTCTATTTAAAACATTGGCAGCACCGATGTATTGATTTGGTAGAAATTTTGACAGCGACTAATGAAAAGGAATTCGTTTCTGAAAACCGAGCTTTGATCCATGACTGAAATTTGAATTATATTAACATTATCTATTAACCCTTGATCACATATTACTTAATTAAAACATAATAACTTTGTGAATTATTCTAAATTCTATAGCCCGTAGCTAATCCTTTTATGAAGCTGCCCAAGTCATCGCAGTTGTATTGTAAGATAACTTAGTTTTGTTCAACGACCAGTGAAAAATAAATTAACAAGTTGATTATTAGTTTTGTACAAATCAAATAAACACAATGTTAACATACAGTGAAGTCGTTGCAATGCCTGATCAATTTGGAATTCTGCTAGCTTAACTACAAATCTAACAATTGTTATATGGTTTACTCATTATTTTTTGGACATGATTCTGCCAGTTTTTTTTCGATTAAATATTTTTAGATAAATAACTTACTGTGTTAGTAAATTAGGAACAATAAATGTAACTAGGGTTTGTATGTTCTATTTAAAACATTGGCAGCACCGATGTATTGATTTGGTAGAAATTTTGACAGCGACTAATGAAAAGGAATTCGTTTCTGAAAACCGAGCTTTGATCCATGACTGAAATTTGAATTACCTATATTAACATTATCTATTAGCCCTTGATCACATATTACTTAATTAAAACATAATAACTTTGTGAATTATTCGAAATTCTATAGCCCGTAGCTAATCCTTTTATGAAGCTAAGATGAAGTAAGATAACTTAGTTTTGTTCAACGACCAGTGAAAAATAAATTAACAAGTTGATTATTAGTTTTGTACAAATCAAATAAACACAATGTTAACATACAGTGAAGTCGTTGCAATGCTGGACAGCGACGATGAAGAAGCCGCAAGTAAGCCCGATCAATTCCTCTATTAGATTCAATGATTCCACTCCCCAGAACCAGTAGGCAGAATACAAACTTTAATTGGTTACGGTAAATAGGCCGCTTACAGAAGATCGTTGTCTGTATATTGCGAACATTTTGTGTGTGGCAGGGTTTTAAGAGCACTATCCCCGCTCATTCAAGAAGTCAGCCAGCAGTGTCCGAGATCAACCTCGGCTACTTGAGATGTTGAACTCTGTTAGATAATGACTCCAGTGCACCCCGAGTATATTATAGACAGCTACCTCCATAAAATGGCCACGGGTTGCACCAGCATTTAAATAAGCTTTCATCTATTCATATAATTGCCGAAGAGCTAATCTTGATGGTTGAAACAATTTATGATACATATCTGATTTAAAACATCACATTTACATTCTGCTCGAATAAAGTTAATCTATAAAATTACACACTATTTCTGATTTAAAACATCACATTTACATTCTGCTCGAATAAAGTTAATCTATAAAATTACACACTATTGATCAAATTTATTTTTGCGCAAATTTGTCTTTTTTAAGCTGAGGATTTTTGTTTTCCATGGGGCTTCCATTATGAAAACCAACTAAAAGGCTCAAGTGTGAAATGATTATACTAAGCTCTGTAAACTACAATATATACAACTCCTACACTAATTTCACATGATATTTTCAGTGGCCTTTTACTAGTTGTTGCATTGATGTTAAAATATAAAAAAAGCATTTAATTAAATTATATTAATTTTACAGCGATTGAACAACCTGATCTTGCTGCCAAGAAGCCAACATTTCATAGTGCAACAGAAGTGAAACCATACATTATATATGAATTTAAAAAGGATGAAAACACACTGTACGCCCACACAGGATTCCTGGGTGAAGCCGATGTAATATGCATAAGGAGAATTGATGCCACCTGCGACAATGAATACTCACTATGGTTCCTTGAATATACCATAAAAAAAGATATAATGCAATTTCAGTGTAAACATTTAATTGCCTGTCTTGTACCTAAGTACCCTTAGGTCAATAGTTAAATTAAAATTAAAAAATATATACAGTCAAAATCTGTTATAACGACATCGAAGGGACTGCTCATATCCAGTCGTAAAAACCGATAGTCGTAACAACCGGTGATATTTAATGTGTATCGTGCAAGTACAAACAAATCGATAGGGAATTATTGGAAAAATATATTTACATAATACGCGATTTTTCTTCAATATTAATTTGGTTTCTTTTTCTTTGCGACATTTTGAAAGTTTCACGAATAACTCCACAAAGTTTTGGTGCGTCTTTTGTATAGATAAGTAACAAACTAACTGAAGAGATATGAAGAAGCGGGCTTTGACTCTACCGCATGCACGTGTTTTGTTTCTAAGAATTAGAAAAGACCCTACACTAAACTAAATCCTATTGTTTTCTTTCCTGATTTTAATAGCCATTGAAAACAAATGTGGATACCTATTCAAATTGTTTACAATACAGCTTAGCCGGTCGTTCTAACAGATCTAATTCTCCGAAATATTAGTTAAATGTGGTCGTTTTATGAGGTATGTCGTTATTACCAATGTCGTAGAAAGCAATATTTTTAATAAGGCGGTCATATGGCATTCAGCCGGGACCTTTGTTCTTGGTTATTATAACCGGCATGTTGTATTAAACGATGTCGCAGTAAACGGTTTTGACTGTATTTATATATATGTGTTGTGTCAAATATGTGATAGTGTGTGTAATGTTTTCTTTATTGATATAATGCATCTTTTATGCATTATTTAAAAAAAATATTAGCATTGTGCACTTCTTCTCTATATTCTGTATAAGTGTAGAAAATTTCATACTCCTCCGTCCGCGCAATTTTCGTAAAAAGGGGTACAAAGTTTTTGCTTCACATATTAATATATAGATTATACGTATATAATATAATCACAGATTTCGTTATTCGAAAACCACACTATACATAAATAATAATAAAGACAAACAATATTCATCTATTCTCAATTTGACCACAGACTTAAAACACTAACAAAAGTTTGACAATTGACAATAAACAAAGTATATAACTCCACATAGTTTTGGTGCGTCTTGTGTATAGATAAGTAACAAACTAACTGAAGAGATATGAAGAAGCGGGCTTTGACTCTACCGCATGCACGTGTTTTGTTTCTAAGAATTAGAAAAGACCCTACACTAAACTAAATCCTATTGTTTTCTTTCCTGATTTTAATAGCCATTGAAGACAAATATGGATACCTATTCAAATTGTTTACAATACAGCTTAGCCGGTCGTTCTAACAGATCTAATTCTCCGAAATATTAGTTAAATGTGGTCGTTTTATGAGGTATGTCGTTATTACCAATGTCGTAGAAAGCAATATTTTTAATAAGGCGGTCATATGGCATTCAGCCGGGACCTTTGTTCTTGGTTATTATAACCGGCATGTTGTATTAAACGATGTCGTAATAAACGGTTTTGACTGTATTAGCTGATAGAACATTTAGATCTGATGTAACCTAAAAATTACTAGTCTTTAAACTTCTTCATTGCTGAATATAAAACTACTTGTGTGAAAACATTCATAGTTATATAATTAAACTATTTTCATCAGTAACAAAAACACTAACAAATAACTATTAGATTTGAAGTTATAAATTCTATAGTTTCGCATTATTATCATCTAAAAATGTAACAACTAACTTATAATATTAAAAACAAAAATTATTGTGTCCTTTTATAAATATTTTTCCTAATTAAATACATTCTGATAAATATAGTAGATATAATGCTATACTTTCAAACCATACATCACAATAAAAGCTAATATTAGAAACATAATTTGGCTTGTGGAGAGTACTTAACAATAGGCAGCGGCTTTGCTCTGTCCCTGGCATTGCTGAAGTCCATGGGCGACGGTAACCACTCACCATCAGGTGGGCCTTATGCAATAAAAAATATCAATGTTAGGTATATTAATTAATATTTCTTTAAAATTATTGTATATTTGTGTTTTGTCCTAAGTTATGTTTTATTTTAGAATATACTCGTATTGTAAGTTATGCCTTATTATTTTAATGTGTTTAATATACAACAGTCATAGTTTTAAGGTATATCTTGAACTATTTATGAATATGTCTAGTAGTAAGTAGTGGTTTATGATAAACAATATACAAATCAAAATTGTTTTTTTTATGTATATTGATAACATAATGATTACTAACGATAGACCTCTAGTCAAAACTTAGATTCCTTTTATTGCTATTTTGCTGAAACTAAAACTAATAATACCAAAACACTTTAATAAGTAACTGAAACATAAAGATAAGTATAAGTCGGACCGATTTGAGGAAGCGTCATTTTATTGGATTCCATTTTTTTTTCTGAGTTCTCAACTCCTGAACTAACAAGTTTAATTTTTTTTAAAGACCCATTCCTAAAATATTCTCGTCTATCTATAATTAATTAGAAGCAATTATAACTATTTTACAAAACTACAGATATCGAGATCATAAGAGAAACATCACTATCGATGGTGCCGATTAAGGCTAATAATCCTTCTTTCTACTTGAAAAACACAAAAAACTACTCTGGAACTCTAGACGCAGGGATGAACAAACTCAAGGCCCGTCTAGTGTTAAGTGCCCAGACATCAAAACGTGAATGCCGCCACCAATCTTAGGAAGCAACAAGGAGGATGTCCAAAGTAGGTATAGCGCGCCCCTTTTTTTTCTACCTATGCTGACAGCCTAGAGAGGCTATTTCAGCTTCTCCTTGATGTGTAGATGAGCTCACGGGGCTCAAACCGGAGTGTTGCTAACACTGGACCTAACAAGAGCAGTGCTTCGCAGAATGTACCACCGGATTGGAAACGCGATCCACTGAGAAGATCCGGCGAGAAACTCGGTGGGCTGTGTCTATGGATTAATTTACTCGTTGAGCCCTTCGTCGCAAGCGATGGGTTCGGTGAGGACGGTATCCGGTGCTTGCGGTACCTAAAATCACCGTTAATGGATCGGACGGATCCGTAATGTGCTTAGGGCGACGCCGACTGTTTACCATTCGGTCTACAGGATCGGGTATGTAATTTCCGGCGGCCACGACAAGTGGGTTTTTGTGTCGTGCCGGCGTCTCAAAGTGGCGCAATGATGCCGACTGTAAGTACTTACTGACTGGGCCAAGCTCCAGGTCATCACGGAGATCCACGTTCCTTAGGAACCATGGTCTTAAGTTAAATTGGTATGCTAGGAACCATGGTGCTCCGACGGCTATCCTGCAAAAACGGGATTGAATAACCTGAAGGGGTTTCAAGTTGGGCGGGCCGCGTGAGCCAACACTACACTTGCATAGGTAATGACAGGGCGTATGCAAGTTTTGTAGAGTGTCATCTTATTACGACGAGACAATTTACTTCGCTTGCAAATCATGGGATAGAAGCGTCTTAATATGAAGGCGGCACGGTCGCGTAACGTTTTATTGTGGGATCGGAATGTCATTCTTCTGTCGAGGGTGACGCCTAGATATTTCACCTTCAAGGCCCACGGTATGGGCTGGCCAGAGAGAGTGATGGGGCTAATGGCGGAGGTGTTAACGCTTCTATTAGGGAGTGCGCTGCACGAACTGGCTCGAAGTGGTATTCGGAGGGCGATTCCTGTGCTTTTCGAGTTTCAATTTCGACGTGTACGTGACGTCTTCAGAAACTAAATCTACAATAATCTAATCCTAATATATAAACGTCGATGTGTGTATGTACCTAGTCAGGTCATAAGTTGGGCAGGTTGAAGCGGTACGCGGGAAAAAAATATCGGGAAATTCTTTTTTCGGATGAAAAAATTTTTACCGTAGAAGAGAGCTACAACAAACAAAATGATAAGGTGTACGCACACAGTAGTGAAGAAGCGAGCAACCGTATTCCGCGTGTCCAACGAGGTCATTTTCCATCCTCGCTCATGGTATGGTTGGGAGTTTCTTATTGGGGCTTAACAGAGGTACATTTTTGTGAGAAAGGTGTAAAAACGAATGCAGTTGTGTATCAAAATACAGTCCTGACGAACCTTGTGGAACCTGTTTCTCATACCATGTTCAATAACAGGCACTGGGTATTCCAACAAGATTCGGCGCCAGCTCATAGAGCGAAGAGCACACAAGACTGGCTGGCGGCGCGTGAAATCGACTTCATCCGGCACGAAGACTGGCCCTCCTCCAGTCCAGATTTGAATCCGTTAGATTACAAGATATGGCAACACTTGGAGGAAAAGGCGTGCTCAAAGCCTCATCCCAATTTGGAGTCACTCAAGACATCTTTGATTAAGGCAGCCGTCGATATTGACATGTACCTCGTTCGTGCTGCGATAGACGACCAAAAATCGGCTGATCTGATTTCACAAGTTGTTTAGTTACATATGTATGTTATTATCAAAAACATGTGGGTTTGGTTATTTACCCTACTACTACTCTCTTACCTTACTTCCAAATGCGCAAACTCCGAAAAGCAAAGTAGTCGATACTCTGTACAAAAGTACTAGGATCCTATGAAATCAGAAAAGTGTTTTAAACGCCCCTTACCTACTTATATCAGGGTACTTGAAATGAGTTGATTCAAATGAACAGTTTGGTAGCCTTTTTTTTATTAGAAACCGAATTGAAAGAAATTAATTTAGACGATTTTAAGTCCGGCTTTTCAAATCTATAAAAATTATTAATAAACGTCACAAAAAGTAAGCATAATAAAATTCATAGCAGGTATTTAATCTCATAAGAGTTTGTGTTCGGAAACTTTTAAAATTAATCACAAATCTTCGGTACCTACCTAACTTCGAGGAGGGATCAAAAAGTAGTGAGAACGACATACTCCTTGGTAAGAAAAAGAAAAAAAAACTGGCAGGCATAGCTCAGATACATATTTGTAATATCAATAAAGAAAAAAAAACTTCGATTCTTTTTTGTTTTCGTCTGAATGTAGTCATTTCTTTGCTTCGTGTCGGAATGTGTTCTCTAAAATGGAGAAAAACGAAATGCGAGCCGTTATTAAATACCTATGTTTAAAAAAGTTAACGACGCAATATATTCATTGCGATTTGGAGGCAACATTAGGAGAGTATGCTCCGCCGTATTCCACTGTCGCAAGGTGGGCTTCTCAATTTCGAGGAGGGAGCACGAGCACGGAAGACGAACATCGTTATGGCCGTCCATCGACGTCAGTCACCCACGAAAATGTTATGAAAGTCGAGAAAATTTTATTAAGCGATCGATACTTAATATATCCGATACTTAATACAAGAAGCGGGCATTTCATGTGGAAGTATTCAATCCATATTGAAACAATGTTTGAAAATGAGGAAAGTCTCCGCAAGATGGGTGCCGAGAATGTTAACTGAGAGTCAGAACAAAAATCGACTTGACATTTCGACGATATTGTTGGAGAAGTTTCAAGAAGATTCTGAAAACTTTTTGTCTCGTTTCGTAACAATGGACGAAACATGGGTCCATCATTTTGATCCCGAGACAAAACAGCAATCTTCGCAATGGAAACGGCCATCATCACCGACTCCGAAGAAGTTTCGTGTCGCGGCATCGGCTGGCAAGGTTATGGCCTCAATACTTTTGGACTCAGAAGGGATATTGTTGATTGATTACCTGGAGCGTGGCCAATATTATGCAGCCTTAATTTCCAAGTTGAGGAATGCCATCAAAGAGAAAACGAGAGGGAAACTTCGAAGGGGAGTGCTGTTTCATCGCGCCAATGCACCCGCGCCCAGGTCGGCTGTTGCAATAGTTGCCATTCAGCAAGCTTGCTTCGAATTTGATGACCACCCCCCTTATTCACCAGATCTGGCGCCTGGCGATTTTTATCTGTTCCCCAAATTGAAAGAATACTTAAGGGGAAACAGGTACGAAGACGACAACGAGGTGATGGATGCCGTGGAGAGCTTTTTGCAGGACCAAGACATAATTTTTTTTTGAAAGGGATTGAAGCCTTGGAAAAGCTCTGGACTCGGTGTGTAGACTCGAAGACTATGTAGAAAAATAAATTATTAAGTTATCAATAGTCATTATGTTCTATCTCATTCTCACTACTTTTTGATCCTCCTAGTATAGATATATCAACCCGATGAAAATAACATTTAGCCTATAAATGTTTATCATCGACATTGTCAAAATGAAGTTCAACAAAAAGATTCAACAAAAAGTTGATCCTAGACGTTTACACTAATTTTCGGAACAAATGTTTACCATTGACCAAATATAAAAAGGTCATTGACAAGCTGAATAAGCGACAAAATAAAAATAGATTTTTTGGTGTTTAAGATTTTCAAACCTTCACACACTAAAACGCCCTTGTCGTGGCGTGCAACCTCTTTGACAGGACATAAGACCTACAACGACTAGACATAGACACAGACTAAGAAATACATTTGACAAGAATTCAAAAGTAAGGAGAGAAATGGAACGAGGGCGTACGGTACGTTTTTTCATGCGTTCCGTTCTTACCAATCCTACATATACATACGTATATAAGTACTCGATAAAAATTAATAATAAGTACATAGCCGACCGTTGATTTAGAACGAACGATGATAATGGGAAATTAAACAAAATGTGAAAGCGATTAATTATATTATGATTAACAATTTGATGCGTTTTCAGAACACGTGAACATTTCTGTTACTCTTGTTTTCTTACCTTATCATGGTCAGTTATAAAGACTCACATTGATTCGGAAATTTAAACCCTAAAACAGATTTTTTGTCTGTTGGGCCGTGACGTCTTAGCTATAACGATAAAAAAATTAAAAGTAAAACTTATTCTTCGAGTAACGCTCTTTCATAACCTTTGTGGGCATTTACAATCTCGGATACTGAAATAATATGAATGTATATCATATTTTATTTATTATATAACAATTTCTATAATACAATTTATAAGTAAATAAAAAAATCTCACTGCGAAAACTTGGAATACCGTTTTGCTGGGCCAAGGCTAAATGAACTGATCCGCTTTTCATTACGTACTATACTCTTACTTACTAGATCGAAATAATCAAGATTAATACTTCACAATGAACGAATCATCAATATAAGAACATTTTTTCAAGTCTATGTCTACTATGCGCGAAAGTAGGTTGCGGACGAATTTAAACTCTTTAGACTTATGCGCGCCTGGTGCAAGCATACTGAGATGACCAGATGCTGTAAATTCGTAATAGGCTGGCTCTTTTTTATTATTGCAGATACTGTTTGCAACAATAACACCACCCTGTTTCTAAGTTTTACGTTTATCTTGTTTCCTTTAATGTTTCCAGCTACGCTTTTTCTTCAAGTTAAAACATCCTCAAACCGGAGTGATGCTAACACTGACCCTAGCAAGAGCAGTACTTCGCAGAATCTACCACCGGATCGGAAACGCGACCCTCTGAGAAGGTTCGGGAAAAACTCAGTGGGCTGTGTCTGTGGGTTAATTCGCTCGTCAAGCCCTTCGTCGCAAGCGACGATTTTTTTGCATGCATTTGGGTGGCGCCCTGATTGTTTAGATTCACAAATCAGTCCGGCAGATGGCGCTGCAGTCGGTATATAGGTTAATTTATCTTTCCTAGAAATAGTTTATATGGCAAAACAAGGTTTGCCAGGTAAGCTAGTTTAAATATAAATATGGTTTAAAAAAATACCAGCTAATAATAACTCATTACATTTTCTGCACGCCAACACCGTTATGAGTGTGACGTCATTAACGTTAAAAAACTCGCACTAAGCACACTGCAAACCTCCGTAAGGTGTTAAGTCCTTATTCGAAACGGCTATATCTATTGCAGATTCACGTGCGACAATCAAAGTTATTTGAATATGGAACAGAATGGTACTCACCGTCGTCCGTTGCAAGCGCGTCGGAGGAGAACTGCTTGATGATGACGTCGAGAGTTCTCCTCTTGACCCTGATGAGCACGTCGACCACCTTGCGACTGTAGTAACGACGCATTTCATTCACTGCATTCTTCACCATTTCCTACAGCAATTGCAACTTTGTGAATAAATGCTTATTCGCTATTCTGTTATTCACCGAGTTTTTTAATTCCGTTCGCCTTTATATCTAAGGAGCTGTTAGTATGGAGCGAAGCAAACACGCTAAGTCGACACTTGTGACAATTGCCAACAATCACAAATACTTTTACGGTTTGATTTAGCTAAAAGTTATTTTAATTAAATGCGTAGCGTATCCCCTATTCCTTTAGGTTAGCTCTACACCAATACTTTCTGGCCTCGATGGTCTGACAAATCGAAATTTTTTATCAAGAACGATCAACAAATGATCTGTCTTAACTTTGTTTATTGCAAAATACACAGAAAACTTTGCAACACTAGGTTTCACAACATTATGTGTCAATTCAAGAAAGGAAATGATTTAAATTATTTCCAATTATTATGATTATGTTATTTCCAATGTTTCAGGTTGGTCGTATGTATTTCAAAACAAAAAAAAGCCTGATCATTCTCGCTCATACGCCTTTTTTATTTTATTGCTGGGTGGACGAGCTCAAGGCCCACCTGATGTTAAATGGTTACCGGAGCCCATAGACATCTACAAAGTAAATGCCGCCACTTATCTTGAGACATGCGTTCTAAGGTCTCCGTTTTTACAGTAGAACGGCTGCCCCGCCCTTCAAACGCATTACTGCTTCACGGCAGAAATAGGCAGGGTGGTGGTACCTACCCGTGTGGACTTACAAGATATCCTACCACCAATAAAAATCGTTTATTTATTTAATATAGGCATGGACTTTAATAGAATATTGTAGTGTTTAAAATTATGTAAACTAATAGAAAATTTTGTCGCATTGCATTGGCGTGATTTCAAAACAGTTATCGACCACCACAGTATTGATTTAGTAATATCAGTAATTGTCACTATGTATTCCTTGTATTCATCTTCTTCTTCCTGTCCTTATTTCATATCATGTGGGATCAATGCAGAGTGTAATTTTGTCGTGATACTTAAAGGAATGCGGCATGAGTTTTAACGACCGCCCACCTGCCTGATTTCAACCCTCCTTCAGTAATACCTCCAGTAGCATAATAGAGAACAAGTTATTATTCACAGCATTACCTGCATGCTTTTGGAAAGACCTCCGGCCGGTGTCGACAGTAGACGATGAGGACTTTCGAAGCACTCCCAAACAGCGGACCAGTCTTGTTGTCCACTAGACGTAGACTCATTCGTGGACGACGCCGCGCCGCTGCTCTGGGGATCGTCTGAACAAGATAATTAATTTTTAGTCAAGTTGATAGTATTTATCTATACTAATATTATAAAGAGGAAAGATTTGTTTGTTTGCTTGTATTGAATAGGCTCCGAAACTACTGAACCGATTTTAAAAATTCTTTCACTGTTTGGAAGCTACACTATTCCCAAGTGACATAGGCTATAATCTTTTTTGTGAAAAAAATTTGGGATTCTGGCTAAAACTCCAATAATGTAACCCAAGGTGTAAAAAAAATCCCTAAAATCTTCTTTACATCGCGTGCCCTGCGAAACCTATTGATGATAGAATAAAATAATGTACTACGAATTTGTAGAACACATATTATTTACAAAAAGTGTCGCGACAGTATATGTCTAACTATTACAGTTATGCCGCAATAAGTGTTCCTTTATTTAAAAAATAAAACAACGTCAAATATCGTTGAAATTTTTGTTAAAGTCCCGAGCGGAGCCGGAGCGGGCCGCTAGTATCATATAATATAACGTCATGATAGCAAATCCGTACCTTGATGGGTAAGACGACCGGCTTATCTGTATGGAGTGGATGTAAGTTATGCCGGAATACGAAATCTGCTTGTTTTACTGATTGGTTATTCTTTGCCAAAGCTCCAACTACTTCCACAACGAAGTGTATAACAATGTGTAATAGAAAACGAAGTCCAATCATGAATTGATAAAATAAATACTGGACAGTTTACCTTCAGCTATGAGAAATTCAAAATCTGGATTGATCTCTGTCGGTCTTATCTGTTGGGCTGCCTTCTTTACGAGATCCAATACTTCTTCCACAGCCTCTTCAACCATCAGACTCTTACGATTTAGCTCAACGCAAGCGTTACTAGAACACAAGAAAAATGTTACGACTTTCTGATTTACAGCAACATTTACAACATACTAAAAATGTTTATTAAAAATGTTTGACTATTGTTGAATAATTCAAAGAGAGCTTAGTACGTACCGACAGCCAGACTCGACCTTCTCTACGAATTCTTGAACGGACCATGGTGTTTCTTCTGAGAAAAATAATAATAATATATATTCATGACGAATCAGTAACGCGGCTGTGCCTCAATTCAAATCTGGTATCGATTTCAAATTTGATGCCCAATCTCTCATACCTAGTTTCATAGTAGTTTTCAGGTATCACGGGTCAAATGAAAAACATAGCTGGGTCAAACAGTCAGTCACCCAGCAAACAAAGAAACAAAATGAAAAGGAATCAGAAAAAAAGGGAATGAAAAAAAATCGGGTTGGACTTTTACTAATGGGCAAATAAACGAGAAAATCAAACATTGAGATGCAGTCTTTATTTATTACTGAATCACTGACCGGTACTATCACTTTACTTATACATATAAATAGATCTATCAACAATCTTTACGTGTAACTATTCAAATACAGCCCGCTTTATTGGTTGATCTTTTTTTTTTGCGTATTTGATTTTGATCCGGTCATTACCAAACTACAGAAACAAACGGGAGCTCACATGCGAAGCCAACCCGAAGATCTCCTGAAAATCTCATCGAAACCGGTAGACCTTATAACTATACTGAGACCTTAGAACTCATATCTCAAGGCGACATTTACGTTATAGATGTTTATGGGCTCCGGTAACCACTTAACACCAGGTGGGCTGTCTTCGGAGTCTATAGCGAACATACACACCTACTTTAATCTACAATATATATAGATATAAAAGTATTCTTTTACTAATAAAAAATTGTAATCACCCGGCAATGTAATCAGGGTAACCTCTTGCATGCCGGACAACATGTAAATAATTCTGTTAGTGTAAATATCGTGTACTCTCGTCACTAGAACATCGAAGCTCTTGATGGCTGCGTTGGCGCGGTCGATGAACTCTTTCCAGCCCTCGCTGGTCCAGCACACGCTGCGTAGTCCGGGCAGTAGAAGAGAGGACAGGCGTACGACTTGAGGCAGAAATAGAGGACGAACCTCTAGTTTTACACGGCGGACCGTACGTAAATAATCTTCAAGCAGAAACTGTGGATAGGTTTTACATTAGTAAAAATATACATGCCAACTGTGATCAATTTTAGATTGTTATCAGATCGTATTACTAAGAATTCAAAAACTTCGATGTGGAATATCAATTCTTATATAGCTCAATGCTCATTAAGGTAATTCGAGGTCACGGGCATGTTCTATCTTGTCGTTTCTATCGTGAGCTCATGCGGATATATGTAAAAATAATTGCTAAATTTTACGTATTTTTTTTATTATACAGTCACTAAAACAAATTTTTATGATATTTTTGGTGTTAATTTAAAATGTACTTGAGCTAAAATTTATATATTTGTCAAAATCTGCGGACTTACAAATCAAAAATATACAAGCAAATATTTCTGCTCATTATGAAGTTTATTATGTTATTAAAATTTAATTAAGGAGATATAAAGATACATAGTACCTGCAAGGAGTCGTTGACGAGGGTAAAATAATATTTTTTAGCGTACAAAGAGTGACAGACGATTGGTAGCGGAACGCCCATTTTCACGAGGCAATCCGATTCGCGGATCAACAATTTGATATTTTTGTCCAAGTTCACGGCCACACATCCGGTTTCATCAATCTTCAACAAGGAGTTGTTCAGACTCTCGTCTACGTCCCATAGCTGGAAGGTAAAACGATTATTCAGTGAACAAAAACATCTGACCGCTTCGTTCACCGGCTTGCTAGCAACGAGCTATATAATTGTTTTGCAATTAGAATAATTACAAGCAGCCTATGTAATGCCGTTTTCCCACGTTCAAATGTCTACGTCATAGTGAAATGCGGTAAGAACTCTGCTATATTTCTGTGTGCCATTCACTTATATAATAACTGAATACACTGAGCCGGGTACTTCACGTTTTGCTAGCGGAATACCGATTTAAGCAGATGAGGCTTCTCCTTGTCTATGTTTACATTTGAGAAACATTAAAATCAATTACATTCTGGTTCATCCAAACAGCTTTCATCATATCTTCATAGTTGTTCATTAACGTTCGAGTGTTAGTATACTTCCGCATCATATCGGCGGATGCGGGTAATCCTCTTAAGACAGGATGAGCACAGACGCTTTCCACAATCTCGGTCATGTTTTGCATTAGGCATCTAGACCATTTGATACGCCCTAAAACGAGAAAGAATTAATTATTAAGTCATCCTGCATATAAACGTTACGACACTTGCATTAAATATATTCATAATAATGCCAGAGCTTAGGAACGAAGACAGGTGTTACTATCGGTGATTATTGACACGGTTATATAAAAATTAATTTGATAGGAATATTGTTGAATTATTGTTGTTTTTTTGCGCTACACATAACATAGACAATCAAAAAGGTCTCGTGTGACGGAGAGCGGGCACTTATCTTCACTTTTAATTAAGGTCCTGGTAAGATATTAACTGTTATACAGTTGAGAATAACTTACTACTTACTCTGTTTGCTAATTGTTTTTTTTTTGTGCTTGTAAATATTGCTATTAGCAGCTTTGCCTGCCTAGAGTAAGCTATGAATAGGCGTTAATTGAAGAACAATCGAATCCATTATTACTTTTGTTACCGTACAACCCAACCCCAGAGCACATAATTTCCATCTATTTTGAATAATGTAACATTAGCTCTATATAACGACATAAATATGTTATTTAGACTAACCAGCCACAGGAGAATAGTTCCTTGGTAGAGGCGGGTCGTCCTTCTGTCTCTTGAACATTTTCATAATTTTGTCAACTTCCTTTTCGCTGTATTTTAAAACACGATCGTACTTCTCACTAAGTTTCGTTATTTGAATCTTTTGGCTCACCTGAAAATAAAGCAGTAGCTATAGTTAGTAAGACCTTTTATACAATATCAACTTTACTGTACTTACCTTAACTTTATTTTACTTACCTTTACTTTACTTTACTTACCTTTTCGAATCTAGTTAAGAATTTTATCCCTTGCGGTGTTTCCCAAACGCTAGAAAAATTCTCCTCAATAGTACATCCAATAGATTCTTTTAAAGCGTTTATCTTATCTTCAAATGCGTGATAGTCTTTGTCAAACTCATTATTGCGGTAATCAAGGTAATCATATTGGCATGTGGTAACAGCTTTCTTTGCTTCTTCGAAAGTATGTACGGCTTCTTCAAGGTCTAGATATTGTTTGACAATGGTCAATATTCTTAAATACTGTACGAACATACAGTTGACGTGTAAGCGTCAATAAATGAATTATTTTTTGTTATTTATCTGTACTAAAGATCCCGCAGTAGTCGAAATTCGACTATAATTAATTGGAATTGTATAATAAGTTTGTACACTATTAAGATTGTATTTTATACTTCTATAATCACAAATTTCGCCAAGGCTCCACTATAAAAAATATTAATAAAGACAAACAATATTTAATATATTCTCAATTTGACCACAGACGTCAAGAACAAAATTTTGATAATAAATAGTATGCATGCGTGTGTGCGTCAAATACATGATATGTAGTGTGTGTAATGTTTTCTTTATTGATTTAATGTATCTTTTATACATTATTTTTAAAAAAAATTAGCATTGTGCACTTCTTCTCTATATTCTCTATAAGTGTGGAAAATTTCATACTCCTCCGTCCGCTCAATTTTCGTAAAAAGGGATACAAAGTTTTTGCTTCACGTATTAATATATAGATGTATATATTAAGCATATATTATGTGCGTATGGATTATTCTTTGCGCAAATATAATATTCGAAAAACGAATTTAAATTTCGATTTATGTATTGAAAGACTACTCATACGGCTTAATCTCGTATTTTTTATAGTCATAACCGACTTTTTAAAATAAATTACGGTTCTCGTGATCAGGGACGGTCACGATCGTCCGTACGAAATTAAATCGTATAAGTAGATACCATTATATTTACGACTCGCAGAAACTTTCAAATTATAAGATGGGATTGATTCCATAGAGTTAATCTCAGCGTACTGACCTTCACCCAGCAACAATCCCTCCATTCTCTTCTCAAACAGATAATTATAGTCGTCCGTTAGATCGAACATTGCGATAATTTTATTGAGACGCTTACAGAACGTGTCGAATTTTCCGAACACGTAATTCTCCGAGAAGCTGAACTGCTCGGTATTAGGCAAGAAAGGTTGATTCTTAACAAAGATATATGTTTCTCGGTAGGTTCTGTTCAAATTGATACAGTGTATTAGCTTATCCCGTACAAGGGAACGCTCTTGCGACCATATCGTGTCCTTGAACCGGCACGTTATGTATTGTTTGCAGGTTTCGATCATCTGATTTGTAATCTAAAATTAAATAATATGTATGTTTATATTTACATGACAGAAACAGATGGAGAAAAATCGTGCAAGAGAAATAAATACAAAATGGTAGTCACGACCTTTGAAGAATACTACACAAAGAGGAGAAGATATACCTGTATTGAGATATAAAGTACTTTCTTCAATTTTTGCCTCTCATAGACGATAATTAACGTAAACGGCTTGATCTCACACTTTTTTTTAATTTTCGCTATATTAATATATTTCCGAAGTTTTGAATATACTTTACGTGGTCAGGTGTTATTCGCAGACACTTGAATATTTTGTGAAATTAATATTCGAAAATGATATCATGAGAAAAAAAATGCCACTAAAAATGTCAAAGTAGTTTTAATGATATCTTATCAATCGACTTCGTAAAGCACTAAAATATTGTTTTTGGGTGTAAATAATATGCATCATCATCATTATCATCATCATCATCATTATCATCAACATCATCATCAGCCTATAGTAGTCCACTGCTGGACATAGGCCTCTCTAATTGCTCGCCGTTCAGCACTATACATATGAAGACATAAACCACAGATATAACGCACTTAGATAAGTGTCCAGGATTCAGGATATTACAATAGAACCGGCAAAAAGCTAGAAATATTTTTTTACATACTTTCACCATTAAGGAAGATATTCTCTCGGACGTGTTGTAGAACTGAGACACGCTGTGTATCAATCTCACGGTCTGCAGTAAACTCAGTATGGAGTCCTTAATTTTGACGGGATCGTCCAAATACAGGGAGTGACAGCACTTTTCCATGGCTTGAACGAACTTAGCATTGTCTTTGGCCTCGTTATAACAGAAAGTTATTTTGTGATCAGTATCTCGCCACTGTTTGATCACTTTGGAATTGGCAAGTTGCAGGCATGAAAGGGTCAATTGTACTTCGTTTTCCTGTGAGAGAATGCGATTTTAAAATTATATTTACAGTGGGATATGCTTTTTTTCTTTCGGCTCTTAAAATATACCTGCAAATATGATACAAGCTGAGAGAACTGCGCCCCTCTCTTCTTCCAATATTCCAATTCGTCTTGCGGTCCGCTCGAATCAACTTCTCTGCGCAGTTGCTCACTTTCACTCAATATCTGTGAAGCGTTTGGATTCATTTACAAATTAACATGTGATAAGAATACCAGACGAATAATTTATACATATAAATAAAATTAGAGTGTCTGTTTGTAATATTGAAATAACCGCTTTTTACTACTGTCTGTCTGTTTGTTCTGGCTAATCTCTGGAACGGCTGGACCGATTTTGATGAGACTTTCACTAATAGGTAGCTGATGATATAAGGAATAACTTAGGCTACTTTTTTTAGACTAGCTTCGCCCCGTGGCGTCACCGGCGATACGACAATAACCGCGGGACTTAGCTATCAATAATAAAATTAAATGTTTTCGAAGCGAAGCGAGGGCGGGTCGTTAGTCTATACATATAAATAAAATTGGAGTGTCTGTTTGTAATATTGAAATAGCCTCTTTTTACTACATGCATATGAATATATATACGGTAGTAAATAAACCAAAATAACATTTTTTTTAATTTTTGTCTGTCTGTCTATCTGTCTGTCTGTCTGTCTGTCTGTCTGTTTGTTCCAGCTAATCTTTGGAACGGCTGGACCGGTTTTGACGGAACTTTCACTGATAGGTAGCTGATGATATAAGGTAGCTTAGGCTACTTTTTTTAGACTAGCATCGGCCCTCGGCTTCACCCACGGTACGACAATAACCGCGGGTAACATCGCGGGACTCTGCTATTAATAATAAAATTTAATGTTTCCGAAGCGAAGTGAGGGCGGGTAGCTAGTTTAAAAATATAAATCTACATATCGATAACATCTATTCTATAAACGAATATTAGTTAATACTTGCAGATAGTTTTTGAATGATATAATCTTACTTGGTCGTTAAATGTATGATTTGGAAATATTAATAAGGATGCTACCTCCATGACTTTTTTTATCCATTCAGTAACGCGTTCCTCCAACATAGTAATGGTGTTTGGATTTTTCGCCATGTCCTTCAACTGTGTATGGTCTTGGATAGGTGCCATGAGCGCTAGACCGTCTTCAAAAAGATTCACTTGATTGCACACGTCTTCACACACTAAATAAGAAATTGAAACAAAATCATATTTCAACGGATTGTCCTGGCCGGTTTTTTTTTTCATTTTAAGTTAATATTTTAACTATTTTTAATAACCATTGATTAATTAATTTGAAATTAACTCACATAAAGGGTCCAAATAGGAGTTTTAAGCAGTTAAACTATATGCTGCTTACCTTTGAGGGCGCTACAAAAAGATCTTAGTCCCGGCAGTAGTTGATTTTTAACGATGGGAAATCTTGTTTCGTCCTCGTCACCATCACTACTAGGATGAGCTAATGCACTCATGTACACGTGCTCCATTACACGTTCTATAGCTGTTACCATTCCCACTTTTTCAGCATTAAGAATTCCGCAAAATCTGTACTCGCAAAAAAAAAACATAGATATTTACAAAAATGTAAACGTGGATGTTAAGTAAAACCTTGAATAGGCACTTACAAATCTTTATGAAAGCCCTCCTCAGGTAACTGTTTGCTGACATTAATACGGAACATATAAATGCACACTCCAGTAAACTTTACATCCCAACCGTCGGACAGGAATAATTTCCTTTTCCAAGTTACTTGAGGCGGAGGCTGTTTCCCTTGTTGGCGTGACTTAGTGTTCTCCGGCACTGGTCGTTGTTCAATTTCTTCCACATCTTGGTAATACCACAGAAGCTTATTCCTCATGTGCGGAAGAAACAACTGATTGATGTCATCCAGCTGAAATGTTGTGAGGATGACATGAATAATTTTAACAACCTAAGAAAAATCCGCTTAAATAGCAAACCGAACCAACAAGTGATTTCTTCGGTTTTTTACGCTGTTTGATGCTGATCAGTGTCAGCAAGATAAAGCGAAGTTATAAAATTGTATTGTTAAAGTTAATCGATTTTTTTAGATCAGTGAAAACGACTAATCAATATTCTGTTACAAGCAAACATAAGTGTATAAGCAAGCTAATAAAAACTTGGTAAAAAGAGAATCTTGTATGAAATATTTATACAGCATTACAGATTTTTATCCCTAAGGAATTCCATTTAAACATACCATGTTTCCTTCGAACACGTGGTCCATGATGGCGTGTCTTGGTAATCCGGTGCCGTCTATCAAAAGTTGGAAGGTGAACTCCAGACGGGGGTCCATCTCCCCCCTTCTTGCTTTGCGCTCGCATTCTTCTCGTCTTTTCTGAAATACAATTAACTTCATCTAACTTTCATAATATTACAGTGACCAAATCGATTTTCGCATGAGATAAATCGTTTGAACACTTTAATGTTGTAAGGAAAAAGAAATCTATCTGAAAAGACCTGTAAAATATCCATAACATCTTCCTCTTCTTCTTCATCGCTAGACCCTGGCTTGATTCCGTGAACAAACATTTTTTGACTAGAGCCTCGATCAGTGGCAACCCCGAAACTAACTAATTTTCCGGAAAACTTCCCACAATGTTCTTAGCGTGCCGATTGATTGAACTTTAGTTATTTTAGGTATAAGCTACATTTTGCTAGTTCTGTCAATTCATCTGCCTTTGTTTGAGTCCTGCCTTCAACTATAATCGCAGCCCGTTTGAAGATAGGCGAAACTATTATTGTAATATGCAAATTAATCGGACTAGTATACAGTGTCATTATAAGGGTGGGGGTTGGTACGGCGTCGCACTTGCCTGTACAAATGATGTTGGCAGCACGCTATGTTTTAAAATTGATTACTCTTTGTTGTTAGTTTTAATGACAGTGTGAAGAACGAGAATAGAAATTGAATATACGTTTACATATCCATGTATATATAAGCCGATGTGTATGCTATATACTCCGAAACGGCTAGACTTATTTTGATAACGATATCACGAAATCTTCAGATTGGCCAAGGCTCTGAAGTTTGATGGAGATCAGATGAAAAGTCAAATAAAAATTCGCGGCCGGATTTTCACTCGTGTATTACAGAAAAAATATAGTAATATGTTCAGAATTTATCGTATTGGATATTGCAATCCAGTGATCTAACCAGTTTAATTGCTTATGAAATGTTTACTCTGAAATGGATACTGATGATCTGACCTTTTTTTATTTCTATTCTCTCAAAACACTTATTTCGTTAACACAATTGTTAAATTATCCATCATCTAAAATTTGTTGAAGTTCTAATTCTAAATATTATTGGTTAGAACAGTTTAATTGGCGACAACTATCTTTGGAGACAATAATATGTTTAAAGTATTCTTATAATTATTCTATTAACATACGTAGCATTTTTTTGATACATATCATTTTATTTTTCTATAAAAATTTTAATAATAAACTATTTACACATTTTACACATTATCTAATATGTATATAAAATTCTCGTGTCACAATGTTCGTTCCTATACTCCTCCGAAACCGCTTGACCGATTCTCATGAAATTTTTTATGCATATTCAGTAAGCCTGAGAATCGGCTACTATCTATTTTTCATACTCCTAAGTTTATAGGGTTGTCCACCCCTAACATTTTGTTTTTTATTTGGACTTTTTTTTTGTTATAATGAGGTATTATGTGGTTGAATGAGGTTTTGTTATTTTTATTATATATTCCCTCATAGTTCACAGCACTACATACCTCTTTCACTCATTTACCACATCCTTACACACTTACAATAAGTTAGTTTTTTTTGCTACACTAGAAATTCCCTAGAAATCTTATATATAGCAAAACAATGTTTGCCGGGTCAGCTAGTATTATTATATTTTTTTAGATATGTAATCAACTTCAAAATTTATCTTTATCTGTGTGTGCCGTCAAATTTTGAAATCGTTGAGCCACGATAAAAAGGTCACTGCCTACGTCACCTACACAATTAATGCACAAACTCTTTATTTCGGATAATGCCTTTCTAAATGATTATTAATATAAAGAAACATTTATGTACGAGTATTATGTTTTCTTAATATAGAACATTTCTACATACTCGTATTAAGTGTATTATCTATGATTTCTACATAAAGTCTTTGTGTTGACATCCCGTGTCAGATATTATATACTTCTTAATTATTGTGTAGGCCAGTTAGAAAAAAAGTCTCAAACCTTGTGAAACGAATCTCTTGATAAGCTTTGAGTGAATTGGACTGAAATGGTTATTAGTCTAGTCGACAAGTTAAAAATGGTGTTAATTCGACATACTACTGCTAAAATTATGTGGTGTAGCTCATTCGATTCGGAATAATGTCTAGACCATTGTGCTAAAAAACTGAATTAGCACATAAAAAATTCCAAAAGTTATTAACAATTAAACACCTTCAAAAAATAGCGTTTCGTTTATTGCTTATTGTCCGTAAACTATAAATATTTTCGAAATTTGAAAAAAAGATCCTTAAAGAGGAGGAAATTTAGTAAAAAAAAGTTCCAACTCCCGGAACTGTAGCTCCATTATTTATAATTTTAATTTAACGCTGAAAATAGCCCGCCGCGCGCCATTGTTAGGTTGCGCGCACGGCCTCGAAAGCGAGTACGTCACTTAAAAAATTTTTTTTCAAGTACTTAAAGTTAATTGAAAAATCTAAAAAAATTATTGCATAATCTAAACACTTTAGAAAATTTATTCCCGTTGGAATTTTTTATAAAAACATATTTTTCAATATTCTAGACGATTGTTAATTAAGAAAAAAATTTCCAATTTCCATCATCCTTCTAAACTAAAAAAAATGTTTAAATAATTACCTTAAAATTATTTCGCTTCGTGGACCTCTTCTTATAAATATATTAAACAAGATTGCGTCGTCTAAGTTATGAAATTGTTAATATTTTGTTAATAATAATTTTTTTAAGTTAACAAAAAAGAAAAAGAACAATTATGTTGTAAAGAATTTTTTTTTCTTTATTTATTATTATATTTTCGTTTTTATTATATATTTTATTATATAGTATATATTTTATTAAAAGATGTCTTTTATTGACATAAAAACGAAAATATAATAGTAAATAAAGAAAAAAAAATTCTTTACAACATAATTGTGCTTTTTCTTTTTTGTTAACTTAAAAAAATTATTATTAACAAAATATTAACAATTTCATAACTTAGACGACGCAATCTTGTTTAATATATTTATAAGAAGAGGTCCACGAAGCGAAATAATTTTAAGGTAATTATTTAAACATTTTTTTTAGTTTAGAAGGATGATGGAAATTGGAAAAATTTTTCTTAATTAACAATCGTCTAGAATATTGAAAAATATGTTTTTATAAAAAATTCCAACGGGAATAAATTTTTTAAAGTGTTTAGATTATGCAATAATTTTTTTAGATTTTTCAATTAACTTTAAGTACTTGAAAAAAATTTTTTTAAGTGACGTACTCGCTTTCGAGGCCGTGCGCGCAACCTAACAATGGCGCGCGGCGGGCTATTTTCAGCGTTAAATTAAAATTATAAATAATGGAGCTACAGTTCCGGGAGTTGGAACTTTTTTTTACTAAATTTCCTCCTCTTTAAGGATCTTTTTTTCAAATTTCGAAAATATTTATAGTTTACGGACAATAAGCAATAAACGAAATGCTATTTTTTTAAGGTGTTTAATTGTTAATAACTTTTGGAAATTTTTATGTGCTAATTCAATTTTTTAGCACAATGGTCTAGACATTATTCCGAATCGAATGAGCTACACCACATAATTTTAGCAGTAGTATGTCGAATTAACACCATTTTTAACTTGTCGACTAGACTATATTGCGCCTTTATGAACTCGAGCGTACAACATATTTGTTTTTATGTCCAAAAACTACCAGGGCCAAAAAAGACCAGAGTCCTAAAAAAGCCAGTGTAACATATTCCACGAGTTTTAAAAAAAAATTGATACTCTAGTTATTTGGGTTATTTTTAAAAGACCACGTACATTTTTTCGATAAATAATACAAAAGAAAAAAAAACAATACATAAACTAAATACTAAATCCAGACACCTCATTCAGAACTCACGACAATCTTCAATTAAAATCTACGATTGACTCTCAGCTCTTTGTGATGCTGTCCACGGGCAGAAGACGACTTCATGGTTCGTATGTATACGATCATCACAGTCTTCAGGAATATGCGTAATTACTGGTGGTAGGACGTCTTGTGAGTCCGCACGGGTAGGTACCACCACCCCGCCTATTTCTGCCGTGAAGCAGTAATGCTTTTCGGCTTGAAGGGTGGGGCAGCCGTTGTAACTATATAACCTTAGAACTCACGAGTGGCGGCAATACGATACGATACGCGGAGGAGGAGGATGCGTCGTTTTTGTACTAGGAAAACATAAAATTAAAGCGCTTCGTGGATGCTAATATAATTTATTCATCCTTTCGGTTTCATGTTTTCCTAGTAAAAAAGTTAAAGACATACCTTGCCGAGGTTGCAGGGAGGGGGGATGTTTTTTATTTGTTACTCTTAATTTCTATCTTTCAAGTGTTTTTACAAAATTATGAGTAAAAAACAGAACTTTGGTTATATTTGTGTGTTAGGAGACTTGCATTAGTGGAATATCGATTGTTTCTGATACTCTCTGTTGTGTTCCTGATACAATTCATTAAGTTTAAATAAAAATTATGCGTTCATCTAAATATCTAATAGACATTGTATACGCCAGCTATATGCTAGCCTCGTCTCTGCGAACCGACTATCCATCCAGCAGTCTCATCTCATTTCCCACGCAACTCACAATGGCTCCTTTGTTGGGTATCGTGTGTGGTACAATATAATTGAAACTTCAATCTCAAATTTTAGAATGTCTAGATCTAGAAAGAACTATTAAATGATTAATTAATTATCAACGGACATATGACAGCAACAATGGACAACGTTTCGTGAACGTTTCTGATTCTTATCACTTATGTTTCATACTTCAGTGTTTTTATGTCAATATTATTCTGTCAATGTCACTATGGCAATTTGAAATTGCGCTTAGCAGCTCTGAGCACTGCGCATGTGTTAGAATGAACTTCTTTCCGATCATGTCACCCTAGTACAACATCATGAATTGCGCGACCCGCTTCGAGGTTATTTCACCGACGATGACAAACAAAACAACTAACTGTTTTGGTAATAATAATAATAAAGTAGTAAACAACAACAAATTTAAAAAATAAAATTTATAAAACCGATTTTGTATTAAATTAAACAAAAAAGACGAATTACGCAAATAGAAATTTGGAAGGTATTTTAGTTTCACTTTGTTTAGGAATATACGAATTATAATTTCGTGTCTTTTAATTTCCTAATTTTAAAAATTATATATTATTGTTGTATATACCAATACTATTATTATAATATTATTATTTGTTTGTTTGTTTGAACGCGCTAATCTCAGGAATTACTGGTTTTTAACAAAAAAATTAATTTTCTCTTTCATGTAAATAGGCCATGAAGCAACGGAACTTTTAATAAACGCAAGAATCATATAACATTATTTATTTTTTGTTTTACGAGATTGGAGAGTTTTTTGGCTGAGCAAAAATTCAATGGAGATTTTTTATAAAGAGTGTCGTTTGGACAC